GATATTATACAGATATAAAGGCCGAGAACGTAATACAAGGGAAATATCGTCTGAGTCCTCACTGTGCCATAGCCATCTCGTGCTACAGTTGCAGCCAAAACTGTGCGGCAGCGTAACCGTCACAGCTGAACCTTTTCACGCAGCTAACACACATCACAGATTGAACATTCGAGCGGGACAAAATTATCGTGCGGAGACAAAATAATACCCACTCGATCGGATCTGCTCACTGATCAGAGGGGGTGCCTACTCGAGCGTATCGGAGAAACAAAAATCATTAATGTTTCACGTTTGTGACGTGGAACGTCCGCACTCTACTAAACAACACAAATTCAAATCGGCCAGAGAGAACAGCACTGGTCTCACAGGAACTCTTCGTTAAATATAGATGTTGCCGCTCTTAGCGAAACCCGTTTTGCAGATGAAAATAGTGTCACTGAGAAGTATTACACATTCTTTTGGAACGGTCACCCCTCAACACACAGGAGAATTAATGGCATAGACATTGCAATCAAAAACAAAATCGCCACTAGATTAACAGAAGTACCTATTGGTGTCTCCGAACGTTTTATGGCCCTAAGGTACCCCATATCAGACAAAACTTACGTGAACATCATTAGTGCATACGCTCCCACCCTAGAAGCTACAATTATTGAGGATAAGGAAATATTTTACCGAACTCTACAAAATGCTCTCCAGCGAATTCCAAAGCAATCCATTTCAAAACAAATCATCTTGCTAAGTGACTTTAATGGCCGTGTCGCCAAACAGCAGGAAATATGGCCTGGCGTATTGGAAAAACATGGAATGAAAAACGTAAATAGCAATGGTGAACGCTTATTAACAACAAACACAGAGTATAATCTTTCCATCATCATTACACGGTTCATGTTGAAGGACCAGTTTAAAGATACCTGAAAACATCCCAGATCCGGCCACTGGCATAAATTGGGCCACGTAATCGTTCGAAGGACGCATCTAAAAGATATCACAAAAACCAGAATAGATGCCGAATGTATTCCTGACCACCGACTTTTAATTTCATAAATGACTATCCAGTTTAAACCCAACATTCACACTGTAAAAAGCAAAATAACGTGACCAGACAGAATGTACGTAGTCTAGGGAACAACGATACCGCCGACGCCCTCCGGGAAACTATCAAAGAATCACTTCCACCGATAACCTTAATCTCGGAACCTGAACAGGGCTGGACACGATTAAGGGATGCGATTTATAGTACCAGCGAAGCAGTACTAAGAAAGTCTAACAAAAAAAAACAACCAGACTGGTTTAACGATATATGCGGATGATTTCAAAAAAATCGTAAAAAGTATAAAATTGGAAGAAAAGTATTAAAAATAAAAAAATAAACAAGAACGATTTAAATGAAACTGATTTGACTCCTCCCCAGTCTTTTATTCAATAGTATTTTAATTAGATTTTTAAAGAGTAAAAGAGCATGTAAATAAATACATTTACAAAGCTCTATTGGGCACAGTCGACTAGATGTTTAAAGCAGAATTAAATTTTAATTAACCGCATGACGGTGTCAGCGGTGAGATAAAGGCTATACAAGCTTTTCAGGAAAATCTGAAAAATAGCAGGCGGCGTTTATTTGATTATTTACCTTTCAAGCGCTTTTTATGCACTTTCAAGGTGGACGATAATAACATTTATGCTGTTAAAGTTCATGAATAAAAGATTAATTGCTTTATTTTACGACAAAATAAAACTTTACAGTATAATTTCCATATCGATAGCTCAATTATTGCGAGACATAAAGATTATGTTGGAATTTACTAGTGTTTTGAAAGCTATTATTAACTTCTTAATGATTTTTCAGTGACAATAAAAGATTATTTTTTGCCGAAAACGGTCTAAAGTACAGGGTGTTCCAAAGTCGAGCCTCATCATTGGGATCTCCAAAATTAGAAGAGATACGAGGTCGGTGTAATGTAATAGCCGGATAATTTGATGCAGATCAAAATATCATCTTAAAAGTTTAAAAATTCCGATTTGCTTCTTCCGAAAATTCTTGAAAAAAAAGAATACCTATTTGCAATTCAATTTTTTCTAAACCGCAGTTTCGGCTACAACCAAACAGTGAACATCCAGTTCAAACCCAACATCGACACTGTCAAAAGCAAAACAACATGACGAGACTGAACGTACGGAGTCCAGGAAACAACGATACCGCCGACGCCCTCCGCAAAGCTATCAAAGAATCACTTCCACCGGTAACCTCAATTTCGGAAGCTGAACAAGGCTGGACACAATTAAGATATGCGATTTACAATACCAGGAAAGCAGTACTGAGAAAATCTAACAAAAAGAAACAACCAGACTGGTTTAACGATATATTTATGCCGTTGATTTAAAATAATTACTAAAAAATTGAATTTATTGGAATAAACGAAATCTCCAATAATAACAATATCTTAGGTTATATCCTTGTTTATATATTAATAGTTAGTCAATGTGCCTGTATAAGTCGATGCTGCCAATTGGTGGCAGAAATTAAAACGTAAAAAGGGGCGGAGACTATTGAATTTGGCAAAGAAGTAGGGACTAGGAATTCTTCGAATTTAATTCTCGGTAAAGAATAAAATATCTTATCTGCTTTGAACCGAATTTTTACCTCAAAGCGTTATTTACATTTTTTATTTTTGGATATGGATTTATATTTATTTTGATTTTTCATGGCCCCTTGTTAAATACTAAATTATTTTATTAGGTATATATGTATATATTTTATTTCTAGATGGATAATTAAAAAATATATGAAACTATACCTACCTACCTCTGTAACTTTGTAAAAAGTATGACGGATTTAACATAATGTTTTTTTTTAAATGTAACATCCTATTTTATTTTAGATCCTGCGTAAAATTATTACTTTTTTATGTATAATCCTTGTATAATGGTGTAACCTAAAACTAGTTTTCTAATATTTCAATTTGTTGATGAAGAAAAAATATTAGATACTATGTAGATATTTAAGGCAGATGCTACAGGGTGTTCAACATATATTAATGGTTAATTCTACGTATTTAAAATTAAAAAAATATCTGCAGACTCTTTCAATGACACAGCCTATACTGAGTGTTTTTTTTTAAAGTGGTTCACCTCTATAACTTTTTTATTTTTTCAGATTCCGAGAAAAAAACTAAATTGGGAATGTTAGTAGGTATATGACATAAATCGAGATTGATTCGTATTCAGTTAGTTTCGGTCACTTCCTGTTTCACCGGAAATGTATACATTTGATTTTTAAATGGTACCCTCGGTATTTTTTATACCGTAAGATCGAATAAAAACGGCGTCAGCGATGGCTATGAAATGAACATCGATGACATTTCTCATATAAATTTACATATAAAATGACAGCGCTTTTCATTTCATAGCCATTGCTGACGCCGTTTTTATTCGATCATACGGTACTTTATTTGATAGAAAATGACATTCTGAATAGAATGACAACTTTTGACATCAACAATCATATGTCAACTTTTGACATTTTCAATTAAATCAAAAATAGCATTTTAAAATTCAATCTAGTGTCATGGCTGTGTTAAAACCATTATTTTTTAATCAAGGATTAATCAAGGAGCTTTGGAAAAATTGATTTGGTCGTCTAATATTTTTTGTGTCTTTTCCTGGTCAGTTGAAATATGCCCATTTCGTATTTTAATCATAACTCAATTTTTTTTAATGAAACGAGAGTGGCTCATTAGCATATTTGGAAAAGCATTTTTTGATACCTAATAAATTTTGGTACCTAATTTTGGTAAATAATTTGGTACCACACACTCCGTATGTCGAGTCAAACTGTCGTTATCTTTACGACCGGTTACATGTTGTTTATTATCATGGCACTCTACTAGATTGAACTTTAAAATACTATTTTTTAAGTAAAAGAGTCAAAAGTTGACATTGAATTATTCTATTGAGAATGCCATATTCTGCAAAATAAAGTAAAAAAATACCGACGGTACCATTTAAAAACCAAAAGTTGTAGTCATTTCCGGTGAAACAAGAAATGACCGAAACTAATTGAATACATCAATCAAGCTACTTTTGAAAAACACCCGATATATTATAATTCTTTCTGATAGATTTTACAAAATCCTTCAACTTCTATTAAGAATGTCATATAACTAAATAAATCACTTTACTTAATGTTTAATAATAAATAATTTTTGTTTTGTCATATGGCAACTTGTTATAATGTAAATGAATTAAAAGAAGGATAAAATTCAGAACAGATTGCAAGCTGTTGAGTATAGGTGTACTTAATATACTTTCTTAACAAATGTTGAAAGGTTTTGTAAAATCACTAGAAAAAATAATAATATATATATCGGATCAGCCAAAAAAAATGTTTGAACACAGTGTAGCATCTAACTGCAAGTATTTTTACATATAAATATATTTTTTTTTCATCTCTGTAAAACACTCCTACCAAATTTGTGTAGTCCAACTTCGGAAACAACTGACAGTTAAGTAACATAGGAATAAAATTTTACTTTTTTTTTAAATTGTAAATACTTACTAACGTTATTTATAAAAAAAAGTTATAGAATTTTAGGCAGAATCGAAAATAAAATAAAAATGGAGTTTTGCATTAAAAAACATGTATCCGCCACATTTTTTGAAGCAACCAGTATACTCAAAAATAACATTTGAACTGTGTCTCTAAAGATTCTCTATACCCTTTTTTTTATTTTTTTGGAATTCCCAAAACAAACGAGATAATTAACTTTATTTCTTTCGTGATATCTCATTTTATAATATTTCGGAAGAATTAATCAGGTATCTTATTTTTATAATTATTAGAAATAAATCGGAATTAAAGGATAAGGGATATGTAAATATATACCATACGATAAAAAAAAACGGCCTCAGAGGTGGTTTGGAAATGAATATCGATGTCATTTGTACGTAAACAAATAGACGCCGTTTTTTTTCGCTCATACCGTATAAGAAAAAAAATTTAATAAAGCAAACGCATTTATTAATACATGTATATAGATTTACATGGTATGAAGAAATTCGCATTATGATCTCTGAAGGTCCCACCAATGCTTGGTTAAAGTGGCGAGTACGACCACTTAGCAGTCACACCTATAATAATTTAATAAAATATGAATATAATAAACAAACTTATTTCTTTTAGATTTTTTAAAAGCGAGTTATATGTGTTAAGTGGTTTTTGATTATTTTAGCTAATTTTTTTTTAGACATATGATTATTTTAGACCAAATTGTCTGCCCACTCAAACGTCTTTCAAAATTATAATGTAGGAAATTCTTAATATGTTTTAATTGGGAATACTTTTAGAAAGTTTCATTTTCACCAAACAAAACTACGTGTGTATAATAAATTGCAGTATAATCAACTATAATGCACGATATATACTGGGGCGTCAAAACTAGATGTTGGGTTTTTTCTCAATTATTTCGAACAGAAGTCCAATTTTTTCTCCAAAAATTTTGTCCAACTTTGTTTGAAAAATAATTTTTAAATCCATAATCGATGTTTATACAGCAATGTCCTCTTTTAGAATAGATAATTATTTTCAGCTGCATCGATAAAATAAATCATATTTACTGATGCCAAGTAAAAAAAATAATTAGGAAATTATTTTAGACATCTAATTCTTAATTTTTGTCGCTGATAAATAGATACATCACTTTTGACGACAAACCTACTAATAAAAATTGCGTAAAACAAATCATGTTTATTCGCAAAGAGACAATTGAAAACAATTTAATAACTATTAATTTGGGATATAGATCTTAATAAAACAAAAGTTGCATAAAAGCTTTGTTGATTTATGATATAAAATACAGTGTTTCATTTGAAATAGCAAAGACAAATATAATATCTAGTTTTGACTCATCCTGTATATAATAAACAATTTAGTCTATTTTAATATTATTATATGAATTATATAATTATTAATTATTAACTTAAATTAGTTCCAGTAAGAAACGTCGATATTACCTATTTTAACTTAACTTAGAAAGAGGGCTTTAAATATATATTTTATTAAATAAACAATAAAATTCAATCCAAAAAGGGTCAAAATATATTCTTTGGTCAAAATGAACTCTATACGACTACGACATTATGGTATTTTTTGAATGACAATTTAATAACAAATCCACCAAGCAAAAATACAAAATATAGCCTTTCTTTTCACAAACTCATAACCTTTGCTCATAACTAATAACTTTAAAAGTAAATATATATTTGAATCATCCTGTATATCTATAAAAATACCTCCCTGTCAAATTTACGCTACTTTTTGCAAGCATATTTTACAAAAAATATGATTTGAGTGAAAATATAAAATAGGAAATCTGATATGAAGCTTTATCTAAACACAGGGTTGACTGTAGATAAAAAATATTTTACGTTATCAAGTTATTAAGAAAAATTCTCGGAAAAATTATAAAATACACAATATATCTGACAAAAAGCAAAGTGAGAAATGAAACAATTTATAGCATAAAATCAGTATTTTTTTAAACTTTTAAGCAAACTGGGCATTATCGTTTAATCTATCTATCAATCTATCAAATGTTTATTATTAAACTTATCTCAGACTCTATAACATTTTTCCCAAGAGTGATTTAAAACAAATTTATATGAATTTAGAAATAAATATGAATAGTATTTACTTACCTGTAAAACAGATGCTTTTTGCTTAATTAAATATGTTGGAAAATATTATCCAGTAGGTACAAATACACAACACTTAAACACAACAAAATAAACTAATAAAATAATAGTTTCTAATCCAAATTTCACAAATACTGTTTATGTTTCTTCATGAGGGACGAAAAAACTGAATTTTTAATTACTCAGATATGCATTAAGGTATATTTCAATTCAAAAGCTTATAAATATTTATTTTTATAAGACATAACCTAAACGAAACGAAATTACAAGTCGAGAAAGATCAACAAAACTGCCGAATTTAGAAGCGAATATAACTTTTTTTCCTTTTTCTTGTCACAGTTGAAACAAACAAGGATAAAGCTATTTTCGTAAAACATGGGTGAAACGTGCTAATAAGTGGCCCAATAGATGTGACCTCGCGCCCTTCCATTTTTGAACGATGGGCGGGTTTAACGGATTCCCCTCAAAGAAAATCGTAGGGGAATACAAAAATTCAGAACGGGCAAGGCGCCACCTAGAAGACGGGCTTGTACTAAGCCCTCATTGTACATCTATTTATACATAATCAAGGGTTATATTAAGCGATTTTGTCAAATAAAATCAATATCTTTTAATACGTCAAATTTTTATCCGACAAAAAAGTGCTATTTGGAAGTTCAGGTCCCAAGGGATATATAATATCAAGGATAATATTATGGTGCATCGTTGTTGGAAACATAGGAAATCACATGCAAATTTTAAACTGTTTAATATTCTACATATTTAAATTGCTAATGTTTATCAGTGTCGTCTCTACTGAAGTAACGACTTGCTGTAGAAAGTTGCTTTTTTTACTAAAAGATAGCTAATTGGCTCTTCTAAAAACTGTCGTCGCCGGATTTTTTGTTTTTCATTTAATTAAAAAAAAATAAAAAGTATTTTTTTTCTGATATCGTGGCGGATGCGCCAGGCTTCAACTAGTATAATATATAATAACATTGATTTTACAGCAAAATCCTAAATAGATTTTTTAAAGGTTTATGTATGTGGTAAATACACATGCCAAATGTGAACAATTTTGGACCAGCCGATATTGAGTAATTTAAGAAAGATTACATCAATTTTTATATTCAAACCGAACAGGTAACAATCACAACCAGTCAAAAACCGACATACTATGATTTTTTAGGTTTACAAACTATGATTTTGCCATTGTCAAAAGTAATTTAATTTTAATATTCAGGAGATATTAACCAAAAAACATGTCAGATACACTCTCTAAGATAATTTCCTGGTAGTACCATTTTAACATTTTTCCTTCATGTGTATAACAATAAATTATTACTAGTACCGAATATTAAAATTTTATTAAAATTAAGTTATTCTTGAAAACGACGTTGACAACTTAAGGTATGTCGGTTTTTGACTGGTGTTTCATTGTTACCTGTTCAGTTTTAATTTAAAAATAGATGCAGTTTTTCTCAAATTTCTCAAAATCGCCTTGTCCAGGACTGTTTAAATTTGGCATGTGTGTTTACCAAACGTAGATCCTTAAAAAATCTTTTACGGCTTCGCTATAAAATCAATAGAGGGGCCAATATTTCGACAGTTTAAAATTTGCATGGGATTTCGTATGTTTCCAACAACGATACATTTCCAACAACGGTATAAGTGAATGAAACGCTTTTTTCTGCTATCCGTCATATAAAATATATCTGGAGGATTATAACGTGCTCTCCGTACGTGAAAATACCGGGAGGCTAAAATAATTATATTACAGAATAAACAAAAAATAATCCCGTTAACATATAAGCGAAATCTCCAATAGTAACAATATCTTAGGTTATATTAAGCAATTTTGTCGCAATTTGTTTGTTGAAAGAAATAATACCTATAAATTTAGTAAAAATAACAAAAATAATCAAGAACGATTCAAACGGAACTGATTTGACTCCTCCCCAGTCTTTTATTCAATAGTATTTTAATTAGATGTTTAAAGAGTGAAAGACCATATAAATAAATACATTTACAAAGCTCTATTGGGCACAGTCGACTAGATGTTTAAAGCAGAATTAAATTTTAATTAACCGCATGACGGTGTCAGCGGTGAGATAAAAGCTGTACAAGCTTTTCAGGAAAATCTGAAAAATAGCAGGCGGCGTTTATTTGATTTTTTATCTTTCAAGCGCTTTTTATGCACTTTCAAGGTGGACGATAATGACATTTATGCTGTTAAAGTTCATGAATAAAAGATTAATTGCTTTATTTTACGGCAAAATAAAATTTTACAGTATAATTTCCCAATATAGAAAGCTCAATTATTGCGAGACATAAAGATTATTTTGGAATTTACGATTGTTCAGTGACAATAAAAGATTATTTTTTGGTGAAAACGGAAAAACATACAAATACATTTTTGAAAAACTAATAAACAAATATGCCCACCTAAAGTACAGAGTGTCCGAAATTCGAGCCTCATCATTGGGACCTCCAAAATTAGAAGAGATACGAGGTCGGTGTAATGTAATAGCCGGATAATTTGATGCAGATCAAAATATCATCTTAAAAGTTTAAAAATTCCAATTTACTTCTTCCAAAAATTTTTGGAAAAAAAAGAATACCTATTTACAATTCAATTTTTTCTAAATCGCAGTTTCGGGTTTGAATCTGCCATCATCAACTTTTTTAATTTAAATACGGCCCTGCATTTTTCATTATGCATTTTAACAGCTTCTACAGGGTCCGGCAATAGTGCGTCGGGCATCTCTAGCTCCTAGAATAAACAACTTGAGAATTTTGTTTAAGTGCAAACCTAAAGTATGTACTTGGATGTATTTCAGGAAAATATTTTAACTTCTATAGGGTGGCTCAAAAAGTGTGAGTGAACCTGGATGATTTTTTAAAATGGAACACCCGGTATATTATTGCATTTTTGGCTTTCTTTCCGATCACTTTACATGACCCTAAGATATGAGTAAATACATTTTGATAGTTTCAGAAATATTAAAAAATAAATCAAAAATATATTTTTTTCAGCCCTTCTTAAAAAAATTATTAAAAATACAAGAACTGTTCTGAAATCAAAACTAAATTAGTTATTTACTTTAGATGGTCTGTACTTACTTTGCTATAAATATGAAAATCGTAAATTATACAGGATGTTGGAAATTGTACGCTAAACTTTCTAATTATATAAATTAATTTTGTTCGTTTTTTTTTAAATAGAACACCCGGTATATTATTATTTTCAATAGACGGAGAATTAAAAAATGAACATATTTTGTATTTAAAGTATTTCAAAATTTTTAACGGTTTCGCAGATATTTGCGGTTTTATATTTCATATGACATTTTCCACAGTAAATTTTTATCAAAGCCACCCAATAATTTTTCTCTCGTATTTTACCATTGAAAGCGCCACATGAAATGATGCTGCGTGTATCTGCGAAACACTTAAAAATTTTGAAATATTCTAAATACAAAAAATGCTTATTTTTAAACTCCCAATCCAATAAAAAAAATAATATACAAGGTGTTCCGTTTAAAAAAACAAAGAAAAAATATTTTCTATTTTAGAAAGTTTGGCGTAGAATATTGAACATCCTGTATGATTTACGATTACCATATTTATAGCAAAGTAAGAAGAGACAATCTAAAGTGAATACCTAATATCGTTTTGGTTTCAGAACAGTTCTTGTATATATAATTTTTTTAAGAAGGGTTGAAAAATATATATTTTTGATTTATTTTTTAATATCTCTGAAACTATCGAAATATATTTATTTATATCTTAGGGTTATGTAAAGTGATCTGAAAGGAAGCCAAAAATGCAATAATATACAAGGTGTTCCATTTAAAAAAAAGCATCCAGGTCCACTCACACTTTTTTGAGCCACCCGATAGAAGTTAAAGTATCTTCCTGAAATACATCCTGATACATACTTTAGGTTTGCACTAAAACAAAATTCTCAAGTTTTTGATTCTAGGAGCTACAAATGCCCGACGCACTATTGCCGGACCCTATATAAGGGCCCAAAAACAATTATGTAGCACTTATTCGAAAAATTCATATCAATGAATTACTGGTAATATCTTACCAAAAATGTATTATCTGTCTCTCTGTGGCTGATATGGAGACAATGTTGATCAAAATGTCACCTAAAATGTTAAAAAATACGAATACTTTGCGGTTTCATTTTTAGTTTTTTTTTCATCATTCTATCTAAATAGATATAACAAAATAAATTTCACATTGCCATAGCTACTTTTTCTGCTACAACATGATGCTATTAGATTTTCAAATCGGGCAACGTTTCATCTTTCAACTGCTATCATCAACATTTTATGTACAGGGTCCGGCAATAGAGCGTCGGGCATCTGTAGCTCCAATAATAAAAAGTTAGGAATTTTGTTTAAGTGCAAATCTAAAGTATGTAATAGGATGTATTTCAGGAAAATATTCTAACTTCTACAGGGTGGCTCAAAAAAGTGTGAGTGGATCGGGACGAAATTTCTAAAAGGAACACCTTGTATTCTATTGCATTTTTGGCTTCTTTTTTGATCATTTTACATAATCCTAAGATATTATTAAAAATAGCAGGTTAGGTTAGTTACATAATCCTAAGATATTATTAAATATGTTTTGATAGTTTCAAGGATATATTTTTTACTTCATTTTTTAATTCTCCACCTAACAAAGAAATAATATACAGGGTGTTCGATTTAAAAATGAACGAAGAGATTAAGATTAAGATAATTGTAGCAAATTAAATACAGATCAACAACAGTAAATACCTAATATAGTTTTGATTTCAGAACATTCCTTTTATTTTTAATACATTTTTGAAAAGGGCTGAAATAATATATTTTTATTTATTTATTAATATCTTTGAAACTATTAAAACATATTTAATAATATCTTAGGATTATATAAAGTGATCAGGAAAGGACACCAAAAATTCAATAATTTACAGGCTGTTTCATTTAAAAAAATCATCCCGATCTAGTCACTCTTTTTAGAGCCACCTTGTAAAAGTTAAAATATTTTCCTGAAATACATCCTAATACATACTTTAGGTCTGCACTTAAACAGAAATTCTAAATGTCTTAGTATAAGAGCTATAGATGCCCGATGCACTATTGCCGGACCCTGTATATAGCACTAGT